TCATTTAACAGAAAAATGTAAAAAAAAACAAACAAATTATCAACAAATTATATTTATTTTGAAAATGAAATATTTTCGAATCCTCAAAATAAAAATTGAAACATGAATGAAAATCTATCAAATTTATATTTCTATCGCTTCCACATCTTTCCTATAATTGAGCCATTGTCACTTATATGTGTAACACATATGAAAATGCAGGGAATTGCGAGTTATTCCATGAAGAAAGATTTGCTTCCTCAAACTTTCCCAGCAGGCAGATTGAGTAAATTAAATACATGAGCACATTTAATAAAGAAAAACTTCAAATAGTATGCGTTCCCAATTTTCCTGTTGGGTGACTTTTAAAAACATAATTTGTCAAATTCATATTGACAGCTGGGATTTGATGTTACTTTTTATAATTGTACCATGGTCGTTTGGCAAATTTTAAATAAATTAAACAACATATATTTTATAAAGATGAGCATGGTTGTCAAAACCTTTTTGTATTTATATATTTATTTTATTTATTCATATTGTAATACAACTATTTATTCATATTGTATACAACTATTTATGCGTTTTAGAGGCAGCGGACTTCAAAATATTTATAAATATAAATTATTTAGCAATTTTTGCCACTTGACTTATAATATACGTACATTGAAAGCTGAATACTGTCATAGACAAATTTATGAAAAAATTGAAAACATATGACTGCATGAAACTACCATGTATAATTATGCCATGTGATTTTTCTAACAATTTTTTTCATATTTATATTGTTATTTAAAATTTCTAACAATAGAAATTTTAAATGAAGAGAATCCACCGTAAAACTGCTTTGTAATTAAAAGAAAATGTGAAAATGTGGTATGTGAAACAGCTTTCTATGGTTTGGTGCAACAACTACACAAGATTATTTTTTTAATGATAGCAAAAACCGCATTGAACTATGTCAAAAAAACAACGAATAATGGGAAGAAATCTGCGATTGAATTAAATTAATTCGCAGTTTATTATTTCACCACATAATTGTGCCCTTCTTATTTAATTTCGATATTTCATCTCCCCAAATTCATAAAGTGGCCTGTTAGGTTATGATTTGCTTCTACTCCTTTATTTCTTCCTTCAAATGATTCACACGATAATTTAAAAAATATATTTTTTGTAGCTTTATTTTTGTTCTTTCATAATTTTTATTTAAGTTTTTCACTGTTAAGCGGCTCATCAGGGGGGTTACTCTGTATTGCGATGCGTGAGAAAAATTGTAACGCATCGCGTAATTGGTACTCTCTAATTCGTTTTCGTATCTCCTTTCGCATCTACTTTACGCAAATGTGGCATCACCGCACTCTGTAATACGAAAACGCATGTCAAACTCGTTCGTTAAGCGCAAATATCTTGCGTTAACAAAATAGCAAACGCAAAGGAAGCGAAACATATAAGTAAGCTCAATTAAAGGTTTTATTTATATATAAATTGTAAATTATTTTAAGTAAAAGGCAAAAAAGTCACAGTGGCAGACTCAGCAACGTCAGTTCCTAACTTCAGTAGATTTTATGGGGCAACACAGTGATTTGGCAAAGGGTCAGTTGCAGAGTTCAAATTCGAAACAACGCGCCAACAATTTGTGGAAAAACTGTCTGATGGCATCAGTTCAAATTGACCTCCTGTAAAAGATGTCGATGGTTGGAAAAAGTAATGTATTATATTTTTATATAATATGTGAAACTATGTGTGCATATTTACAGGTTGGTGTTGATAACCACCTTGTCCAAGCAATTTCAAAGCAGCGGCCTCTTTTATTGGAGTTGGAATTGTTGTGGATCTATTTGGAAAGACGAGCGTTTAATAAATACATAAACGAATCTTTATTGAGACGAACATTTTGTATAAATCTATAAAAATTTAATATTTGAAAACGTTTGTCACATAATTCGTACTTCTATTTTAATACCCGTGGTCACTTAGGGAGATTATATTTGATCGATCTCATAAAATTCTTTTTTTGTTTTTAATTCGTTCATATTTTTGTTTCAAAAAATACTCGTACCACACAAAAAATATGTTTTTATTTAAAATTTTTTGACGTTTCCTTTTGTCATTCTTCGTTGTTGTTTACTTTGTGGCGACAGTGTTGCCCTATTTTCGATTTAGTTTGCGAATGCGTTTGCGCGAGCGTTACAGAGTACCAAATTGTACTTTTAACGCATTTAGCTTTCGCATCGCACTTGCTTTCGCAACGCAATACAGAGTAACCCCCCAGGCTAATTTGGTTTTTCCATAATTTTTTATTTTTTTTTTTCTTGAGAGACAGAGAGACAGATACTCACCCAAAATGGTTGTATTTCGCTTTCAAAATGCGTCAAACTCGACTTAAATATTCCTTATTACCTCCATACATTCCTTGGCAATAATTGGTTCAGCATGTATTGTTATCAATAGGATTTCCAATGCACTATGGTTTTTTACGTTTATTTTGGCATAAACTCTAATTTTAAAGCTATTGAATTGAAATTTGGGTTGTATACATTTTTTATGCTCCCAAGATGACCTACCAATTTTCATATGATTTGGGGCACTATTTCATATAGCTGCTATATAGCCGATCTGGCCGATTTGTCCCGACTTTTTTGTTTATAAAGCTATTGAAGTGAAATTTGGTTTGTATACATTTGTTATGCTCCCAAGATGACCTACCAATTTTCATATGATTTGGGGCACTATTTCATATAGCTACCATATAGCCGATCTGGCCGATTTGTCCCGACTTTTTTGTTTATAAAGCTATTGCAGTGAAATTTGGTTTGTATACAATTTGTATGCTCCGAAGATGACCTACCTATTTTCATATGATTTGGGGCACTATTTCACATAACTGCATATAACAAAATGTTTGTTCCTTACTTCGGCTATATTTCCATTAGTGACTGCTTTATTCAAAACAAAGGCCATGTCTCTGTCGTTGAATATTTTGGCTGAAACCGTAGCAGCAATGATATAGCATATTTTGTGAAGAAACTTCGGAGGCTAACTTCCTTTTTAGCCTAGGTCCAGCATGTTCATAATTTAATTTTGGGCGACCTATTTTGTTTGGGGAAACATACTGCTCATCCATTACTATAATTATACTTTTACGATTGAACTTTGGCAAATGCTTTTTTTTATATAACTATCAAAATCTTTAACTTGTTTCGATATCAAACGCATTTGGTCTTCATTTAAACTGATATTATTGATATTCTGCAACACATATTTCATAAGTGAATCTTCTGAGCGATTTTTGCTGCTCCAAATTTCAATAAGCGCTGCATGGGCAAACACATGTTTATCAGTAAAAAACTCGAGTTGGCACAAAAAAGCACGAAAAAGGCTAGTTACCCATTAATTAACACACTTTTGTTAATAACTTGGCATTTACACCTTTTTGCAATGCTTTGCCATTCACAAGTTACACTCCACGGAACAAAACTACAATTTATAGATTTTATATAAAGTTATACATAACCAAAACATTTCACAGTATTACAACAACAGACAAATATGACAAAAAGGGCATCTCGTCTTTATTTTACATACCTGCACTAACGTTTTCCATAATTACACATTTTAATTTTTTTCAATTTTGTCTAATTACAAGCACTCGAACTTAGCTGATTTTTACCGCCAGTTGTACCAAAACAATGTGACTTTCAAACTTCTGACTTTTAAAGCTCGCCAGCAAAAAAAGGGTTGCCACCCCCATTGATATTGAATGTTTTTTTTTCTAATATGGATGTCTACATTTAGGAAATCAGTTACATTTCAAAATATGAAAACCAAAAATAAATTGACTTTATGCCAAAAAATCATACTTTTTACCCATAGTGCAATGTCATTTTATTTGTTGTTTTCCAGTTAAAAATTTGCTATCATTTATAATATTCTAAATCGTCATAGAATAAGTATTGTGTACATATTTTTCATAAAAATATTTATTACTTATGTTTTTGTAGTCAGCTCCCTTTGAATTTATTAGCGAAATATTTCGCACAAAATTTTATCTCATTCTCCTACTCCCTGTTATCCAGAATACCTAATTTTTCCCCAAAGCGGATTTTTTCGCTTTCGAACTTCATTCAGAATAAGGCGAAAGCAAGAATGTGAAAAAATTCACAGGAAAATGTTGTTCAGAATAAGCTGAATATTTTTAAGTTCCCTGCCTATAAAACCTATAAATATAAATTGCAACATTCTTAGTTAAATCTTGAGTACAATGTGGAGCTGTAGAAAAAATACTTTTTTTAATTTGTTCATGAATTCCATACTACTACTCCCTGTAATCAAGAATAACTAATTTCCCCCAAAACGGATTTTTTCGCTTTCGAATTTGATTCAGAATAAGGAGAAAGTGAAAATGCGAACAAATTCGCTTCGAGTTCTGGTTCTGAATAACTTCAAAGGGAGGAGCGAACAAATTCACGGTAAATTGATGTCCCAGAATAAGGCTGAATAATTTTAAATGGAAATCTATAAAAAATATGACAATTAATTTCTTAAATTTAAAAGCGTTCTACTATGAAAGGATTCCTACAACCTTTCGACTTGATGACCAAATGGGTTTTGTTACTATAACGACAAATAAAAAAAGATTCTGATGCTATAATAAAATAATTTGTTTTTATCTCAGAAAATCTTTAATATTTGTTCAACTATTATCTTTATTGTTTGTAAGCACCATTGTTAGATGTTATGACTTAAGTTTAAGTTTAGTAATTATGAGTCCCTCGACAAATATGTCATCCTGCTGCTTGGTAAGAGTTCTTGCCTTCGAAAATTCTCACAGCTCTATACTGACAGTAAAGGTGCTTTTGTTGGGTAAATAAGTTTTCAATCCAATCACTTATTCGGTAATACTCTCACACACATCCCCATCCAAGTAATCCAACGCAGCTGCAATACAGTTTTGTCTATTGGCTTTCCGTAACTGCGGTTTCCATTTGCTGGAGTTCCTTAATAAATTACTTCTGTATCATTCATTGCTGTGAGGTGGAAGGTCCGGCATCAGTGGTAGCATCTGCACTAGCACGAATACTATCATTGTTTGTGTCATTTTGACGCTGCGTGAGTATTTGCAAAAAATATTCACCAAATACAGAGTGATTATAGGCTATTACACGCTTAAGGGCAGTGGTGTAGGATTCAAGTTCATCTTTAAAATCTACGTAGCCTGGGGGTGGAGGTGGTAATCCGCCCTTAGAACGAAGTGCCAGTCGAAAATAAGTCTGAAAACGTTTCCCTAAAAAAATAACAAGAAACGGTTAGCCGTTTCTTACTTCACATTCTCGTCTAAAATGTGTACTTACACATTAGTTGTCGTACTGGAGCATCCCTATTTGCTATTTGCTTTACTTGCATTCGAATCATGGTCTCCACTTCTGAGTCCATTGCTGATTGATTCTCCTTTTGTAAATATTTGTTGATTACTGTTTTTATTTGTTCCCAAATATTATCAATAATCTCTGATATATCTCTGCAATCGGAAACGGTGACATTTTTGTTCAAATTTTCAAAATAGTAATAAGTTCAAAATTTTCTTACTTTTCATTTGTAACACTTTGTAGCAGTATTTCAATTTGTTTAGCTAATTCAATTCGATTTTCTGAACGCTGAGATATAATAGGCACTGCTGAACAAATGGATATCAGTGATGCTGCGACACATAAACGTTTGGCCCGTTGACCCAATTTGAGAATGCGATCCTTGTCTGTGGATAGAATTTCGGGGAAATCAATATTCTCCTGCCAATCCATTAGTTCCATATAGGCATTGGACATAGCTTGATCTGGAGTTACAGATGTGCCACTTGAGGTGGGAGAGAGATTGCGTTGAAGCCAGTTTTCCGTTGCGGGAAAGCCAACTAAAAACAAATTAAACAAATTAAGTCATTCGATTTTCATAAAAGAGTGATAAAACAAACGTACATTTATAATATTCCAAATATTCATTAAATTTCTGTTTCTCATACTCCACTGAGTTTGCCATAATAGCATTTCGGGAGAAGTCTAATAGGAAATTAGCCATGTCCAATTTCATGAGAGCCATTGTATCCAAAATGCCTTTGAACATATCAACTACATCTTCGATTTGTGTAAGCTTCTTAATGTCGTCATCTCTGGCTGGTGCACATGATTTACCCATGATTTTAATAATAAAATCGGCATATGATTTAAAGTCGAGTACACCCTTCTCGGCTTGCTGGCGAATAACAGATTCGTCCAAAATCTCATTAATTTGATCCAGTATGAGTTTATTGTTCTGCGTTAAAATTTGTGGAAAACATTCCTTAATTTCACTTAAAAGTTGTATGGCATAATCATATGAAGGGGGATCGGAATTCAATTGTTCTCGTAGTAAATCCCAGAAAGCTTTGTGCATGCAATCCTTGATGCGTTTTTCAAGGCTAAATCAACAGATGAGTAAACGACAATAAATACACTGGATTTACTTATATTATTAATTATTGTGTTGGTATACCTGTTCTCCGGTGGTTCATAAGGTTGCAATTTAAACTCTGGATTCAAGGCAATTTCGTGTGCTAGTTCCATGTTTTGTATGTTTTTAACGACATTTGTGACTTCGTCAAGTGTCATCACTTTTGGTGGACTGCCATCCATGCTGGGTAAAACAAATCGAGCTAGCCTACGCCACAAAAAAATACAGGAATAAGTGATGGTAATTAAAAATATAGCAGTGTACTCACTTATCAGAGCACTCACTATCGGTGCGGGAGCGTAAACTACTAGCTCCTGGAGAAGTACCCAAAATATTTTGAGATGTATTGTTTTTGTCATTTTCATTGGAGCCATTTGAATCCATCCTGAAATACAATAGAGAAAACACGAATTACGTATTTGTAACTACGTTTATTTATTATTGTTTCCCTTTTTCTTTATCTACACAATAGCTAGTCGCGACTTTCAAACAATGACAGAGCACGAAAATACATTACATACACTTTATTGATTTGTGAAAATGGGCACTACTCTCATGTTAAGTGAACATATGCGAGACAGACAGAGAACTTGTGAGGAAGTGGAGTTAAACAACTTTTGCACGAACTAACACATCCCCTACACCCCACGATCCTTACCTAGAAATTGAATCAGCTGGCATCTTTTGTTTTGCGTCGTTTGTTTTTATACGCGTCTTCCAGTCAACAAGTAATTACTTCCTTGCTTTGAATTGTGAATTGTTTTGTGTGACAAAGACTTGCTTTGGCCAAAAATGGATATTCAGCTTTTTATGTCAAATGCACACAATGAAGTTGAATGCACCAATCAGAATCAACAGAGAATGTAGAGTAGTTCTTTGTTAGAATTTGGGATGCTTTAAACAAAGCCAAAACCTGAAAAAGAATGTAAAGATTTTAAATTAGTAAAATTAGTCACTTTACCCCACGTTGTATATCAAAATAGACTGGGGTTTCCCAACCAAAATAGTGATAAATTTGGTATTTTCAACTATAGCAAACTAGCAGTGGACGTGATTCATAAAGCTGCCCAGGAAGACGGGTCTAAGTCTTAAAAAGCAGTAGCTTTGTTCCATTTCGAAATTGACATTTGATTATTATTGTATCATACCGATCTGGGGCCCGAAGACAAATTTAACAACAGGGTCATAGCATTTCTTTTATATACTGCGCAGAGCGCCGTAATCAGCCATTTGAGAACAAGCGTATATACACACACATGTTTCTATATATACACACAACACATTTCGATATGTAAACAAAGTAAAAAAAATAATAATATTAGGAAATTGTTACAAGGACGTTTCTTTCGAAATTACAATGGAAATGGATCTAGAGATAGCATTTAATCTAAATAAATCTATACACTCCGAGCCATTTAAATTATTAAAATGCAAAAAAATCAAACGAAATTAAACAAAATTATATTAGTCATTTACTTTGAAGTGTTGTTGGATCCATGTTTCTTTACAATACTTACTTCAACACCTTTATTTGTTTTTAGAATACAATAAATCACAAATTGTTACTTATAATTTTAAAAACTTTTTTATTTATTTTTATGTGTTTAGTTTAATTTTTCAAAGAGGAACAAAAAGAACCGTCCACGAGCTTCGAGAATGACTGTGTAAATGAAATGAAATTAAATAAATGCATCCGACAAGGCATTAAACAAAACAAAAAATTTTTTGTGGTAACCCTAAGCCACTTCATAAGGCAAGTACCGTATCAGCTGGTGGCTGGTCTCATCAAAAAAGACGCAATGCTATGTTTACATAGATCCATGGCATAAATATACTATGAAGCATGGTACAATTATAAAAAGATAGGGCACAGCTACCAACTGATTACAATTTTTTCTTAAGGTGGCTTGTTCCATCAAATCAAAATACATATTTCGTGTATGTGTGTGTGAATTTGTTTCGAATACTATCTCAAATAAATTCAAAATAAATTTAAATATATTCAAATTTTAATGAAATGAAAATGATGCTTATTAAAGCGTTCGTCTGGAAGTAATTACTTTTGGTTTGTTCCAGTACTTTTTCAATAGTAAAGCTAGTAAACGTTTCAAAATCCCTCTCAGAGTACTAAATAATTTGAAAAGTTCGGGAACGCAAATCTAGTAAAAATGCCAAATTAGATGGCAATACTTCAAAATCGACGTAACAGCCAATCAGAAGCTTGCATTCATGTTTACCATATTTACTCGGCCAAATTTGTCGAGTAAAAAGTTTACAAAGAGAACGCCATTTTGTTTTGTGCTCTCTTAAATTTGATTCAACATTCTACTAGTTTTGAGGGTTCAGGAACGGTTTTCGAATAAAAAGTTGCAAAACTTGTAAAATTAGTAGATTCTTGTAGGTTCTGGAACGGAACTTTTATTAGGGATGAAACAAATATTTCATGGTATTCCCTACTGGATTTTGGAAAGAAATCATAACCTTTCATTCATTTTTCGCGTTTTTAGTTATTTATTAAAAATATGTCAAATAAACACAGTACTTGTTGTGTATATTTATTTTATATCTGGAAGAAGAAGCCACCACATACATAGTTGCTTTTTTGTTATTCAACTCAAGCTGCAATTCTCATGCCAATTCATGGTTGAAAACCGGTTCAGAAAAAACTTTAAACGCTTATACTTTATTTTTCCATCGTTTGCAGAATACAACCCAAAATGGTGTTTTATTTTTTCTGGTTCCCTATATATTGTAAAGCTCAAATTATATTATCGTATTTTATGTATAACATATAAAAATTTTTCCTGCTGTCGTGGGTCGTTTTACATAAATCAAGAATGTCATATCGAACTTGACACGAGTATTACGATATAATCAAATCAGCTGAGTATTACAGTTACCTTGTATAATTGTACCATGGCATATGTCGCGGTACAATTATACAAGGTAGCTGCAAATTAAACCAAATACAATTCAACATCAACAACATAGAATATTGTTATTGTATTTAACACTATTGTCAGTGTGATATGTCGAACTTTCCCAATAGACAAATGGAGTATTTTGATTTTTTATCCTGTTCTGTCTGGTATTTCGCGATTAAAATGTTTACAGCAAGAGAAGACTAAGGTATGAATTCGCCTGCTTGTTAACTTTATGAATAAACCCAAGGTAGATATATAAGGTAGCCGCATCGGCGAATTTCTATTTGATATGTCAAAAACATTTTGCCAAAACAAACAGATTCATAAGATTTTTTTACACAGATTATTGTAGAAAATGTTAATAAAAGTATTGCCAAACAAGCTCTCCAAAATTCGGAGATTTTCATTTATAATTTTGTTTTTTATTTTTTTGGTTTTACACTACAACAACATATTTGACATTTATTTGCACCAACAGCTGGGCCGATGCGGCTACCTTGTTAAATATACCTTGAATAAACCTTGCTCAAGGGGAAACACATAAGAGGACTTCAGGATTGGCATGTTAAGTTAATTTATTTTATTGTAAAAGAATCAAGGATAACGGCGTCGAAAATCAAGTTTGACTCTGGTATTCCTTTACAAAATGACATTTCACACAAAGCCAACGTAAGGGACCAGTCCTGAATCCACGTATGTGTTTCATCCTTCTTTCATACAGACATGTGATTCCAATTCTTTTATTTCATCATCATATTTTGATGAGTTTTTACCTTACACTTAGGAGATTCTATAAAAAGAAAGCTCAAGCACAATGTCATTCCAAAAATATTAATGAGAATGTTTGTTTCACTGTAATAGCGAATTTACATAAACATGAACGAGCTAGTTGAATTTTAGGTAGGGCTGTAATATTTATTATTTTGTATTTACCCAAAATAAAGGGGAGCAAATACGAGGATTCAAACATGGCCTGTTAAGTTGGCTTTTATTTATAAGGATATATCAAAGTCAAAATTGATTTTGGACGCTGTTGTTCTTTATTCTTTTACAATGAAAAAGCCAACTTAACATACCAAGTCTGAAGTTTTTTTATGTGTCCCCCTTAAGTATTTTCGCTTTTCTGTTAAATGAAAATTATCTGAAAAAGTCAAAATCATTTCAGTCCCTCAGTGCACATATCACCCTTAATTTTATCTTCGCCTTTGGCCTTTAAACGAAAGGGAAACAGATATTTGCTGCACGTCGACAGCCCACGTCGAGTATTAGTTGATCACTGATTCTATTACAATTTGTTTTCTAAATGTATGGCAACTACATATACTAATTGACAACTCTGGACTGTGAACAAACATGAGTTGCCAGCACTGACGTCTTTATAAACAGTTTGAATTTTTGATTTGAAGAGTGCGTGTGTTATCTTGAAATTTTGTATTTATTGTTGTAAATGACATTACAATCTGCAATTTTCATAAAGGCAATATGAATAACGCCAACGATAATTGTGCGGTAAAAATTGCTGTCAGGGAAAGACCTGTAAGGGAATCATTGAGCAATAGCAGGGAACCAAGCGTCATTGGCTATCATCCCAATTCTAATGTAAGTCTAAAAATATATGCAAATGAAAGTGAAAATAAAAGTAGTAATTATTTCTGATAATAGATTTTAGTCGTTGATGAGAGGCCATTCAGTTTTGACTATGTGCTGGGCCCTAATGTTGGCCAATCACAGGTGTTTGAGGATTTAATAAAACCCCTTGTGAAGAAATTGAAGCTGGGCTTCAACTGTACTGCATTAGCGTATGGACAAACGGGTACAGGGAAATCGTATACCATGGGATTGGATTCGACGGTAAGTGCAAAAGAAGATTTAAAATATTAAAAACAATATATCCACATATCCCATGACGCTTGTCATAAAACAATTTTAGAATTTTGATGGAGAACATATTGGTGTTGTACCGCGAGTTTTAAAGGAAATATTTTCCGATGAAGCACAAAATATATGTGATGCTGAAAACCAAAGGACCCCACCAGCTGTAAAAAGAGAAATATCGGCTTCGTTTATAGAAATATACAATGAAAAGGTCTACGATCTATTAGCAGAGAATGCTAGTGAGCCCATTATTGCTAAAGGTAAGAACTCAGCTATGATTTTGTTACCCTTAAGTAAGAATAGAAATCTGCTACATATGCCTTATATTGTGTATACATTCTTATCTGGGAGTTCCATGTGCACCGCAGGTAGCTACGTAGAAATGTAAAATTTAAATGTACAACATAGATCACTGTTAGACATAAACTATTTAAATGAATAATTTAACACCAAGTAATAAGACAAATATCCACATTTTCAATCATGTATTTACTAACAACCGTCAATTATGTATGAAGGACTGATTGGGTAAGCCGTAAAACAACAAATATACGTTGATGTACAGGAACAATATCTGCCTACCTGATTATATAAATATTCTGTTGGTACATAGATCTAAACTCATTTGTATGTTTATGTGCTGAATTACTAAATATTACTAAATTGGTGTTAAATGCCCTATTGTTCTTTTAAAAGAAATATGACCCGTACCGACTTTAATATTACTGTGTACTTAAAATTGTACTAAACCAAAATTTAGAAATTAATCTCAAAGCAAGAAATTTCTAGTAAAAAATTACCTCTTCTAATATTGTATACATTTTAGGTTACAGATATACGGGTGGGTCACGTAAATCTTTGACAAATATTAATGAATGCCATGCCATACTAACGCAAGGTAATAAAAATCGACATGTTCGGCCTACAAAAATGAATTCGCAAAGTTCCCGCTCCCATGCTATTTTTACAATTCATCTACGTTGTATTACGAAAAGTGCAAACGATGAAGAAGCCATTACGTCGTCCTGCATGAATCTGGTTGATTTGGCCGGTTCTGAAGGTGTGAGACGAACAGGCCATCAAGGTGTAGCTATGTCAGAGGGCGTTAACATAAACCAGGGACTACTGTCTATAGGTAAGGTTTTACAAGCCATGACTATGGGAAGTAAGGTCATACCATACCGTGATAGTGTTCTTAGTTCTGTGTTACAAGGTAAGATAAGCAGTAATCTGTGTATATAAGCAGAAATAAATGTAAATTTTATTTGTCTTAGATTCGCTAAATTTGAACTCATATTTAACCCTGTTGGCTTGCATCAGTCCTCATCGAGAGGATTTAAGTGAAACACTATCAACGTTAAGGTTCGCCCAAAATGCCAAACAATTGAAAAATACACCTCAAATCAATAGTATAATTGCGGATATAAAGGTAATTATAGATGAAATATTTTTGTATAATTTGTATAAATTAAATAAAACCCCAATCGATGGTGTCACAAACTACACCCTTCATTCTTTCATGAAATACATCAGATTTTGCTCCAACAAATCCAGCTTCCATAGCGTCGGTTGATTGTCCCAAAGTAACTTTTTCACTAAGTACTTCCAAATCGGGTACATCTTCACTTTTCGTAGTGAGTATAGGTAAAACAATCATAGCTAGTAGTAAACCAATGGCTGCCTTAGCTTTAAGCTCATTATCAAAAGCCTTTCGAGTATATATGTCAGGTTTTGAACCCAACCTGCAAATAGATACCTTTTAGAAGGAGTAACACAATGAATTTAAAGTTTTTACTTGCCTTTTTAAATGCTCGCATGCCGATGCATGGTAAATGTCCAACATTTCATGAAAATACTGTGCTCGAAACTCTGTTGTTGTAGATGACATTAAAAAGTACATTATGTCGATAATAGGCGAAGCATATCTCATGATTTGCCAGTCAAGCAAACGGGCATCCGCAATCGTGCTATTCTGTACAATAAAATTGGTTAACTTTTTTTTTATAAATGTTGCAAAGAGTTACCTCGGTTTTGTACATTATGTTATTAATCCAACAATCACCATGGCATATTACGGAAAGAGGCTCGCTTTCTTTGGGATTCAATAACATTAGCATAAGGTCATAAAAAGATCCCCGTTTAAAATAAGCATTCAATTTTTCCCAGTAATTGCTTTCCCGCTCTTTATCAACGCAATCCAGGGCAGTCTTCTTAAGACTTTCGAAATAATCGTTTAATTGCGGATCATTTTTTCGTTGTACAAATATGTCAACTATATTTTTTAGGTCTTCAAGTTTTTCGGGTGATTGATCCTTTATGGCAAGTGATGTTGCGTGTAACTTCCCATAAATGCGCATTGTCAGCGCTACATGGTCACGAGTCAACGGTTTAAAACGATCATGCATATAAAATCCATCTTGTTGTATATCACTCAAACAAATGGCTTCATGAAATTCGTCTCGAATGGCAAAGTAAAATCGAGGGTACTCAATAAACATTTCACTGTGTTTAAGTCCTTTAGACATTTGAAACGCATTCACTAGGGGTAGAAACTAAGACAGGACATAATATAGTTGTGTAGAGATTTCCATAGCAATTAATACTTACATGTTCGTACGCTAATGCCTCTCTTTGAAAGCCAGGACCAGCAAAAAATTGTTGGCGTCTTTGTGGATTTTGAGGCGGTACTTTCATAATAAATTTAATGACATTATTACTGTCAGTGATACTTTGAGTTGTTGATACCTTAATGCGATATACAACACCCATATAATTGTCGCCTTTTTTAGTAGCCAATTCAATATTGTAGACATACTTGTTTTGTCCAAATGAGGCATCCAAAAAATGTATTAATGCTGTAGTAGCACCTGACGATATTTCTGTATCTTTTTTATCTATGTCGGCCATATTTCTATAACATATAATTGGAAATATGTTTTTAGAAAAATGCAAAAATCAAACAAACCCCTTACAAGACAAAGCCTCTGCAAAATCATAATTCTAACAGAGCCACCCCAATGAAAAGGACATATACGGCAATCAACGTAATTCCTGTAAAGTCAGCCGTTAAAAGCAATACTTTTTGCACTCCCAAGAAACAACGTGCTGAAGTAAATCGTTGTAATCAAACTGAGATTGCAAGTAGTAAACGGTAAGGATGTGAATTCCATTTATTTGTAATGCGTTTATTATAGATGTTATTATTTTAGACCGAAATTGTCAAATGTCGCCATGAACCTGCCCAATATGGCACAACTAGAGTCTACACATAATCGAGAATCACTCTTCAATCGAAGCATTGATTCTAATGGATCTCTATTAAGCCTGAACATATCAACTTCCACAGCAGTTGATGGAGCGCCCAACAATAACGGAAATAACAAGTAGGAACTATTTAGTTGTTGATATTGTAAACAGAATTTAATGTATTTGTATTTTAGTTTCAGTCCAGTTATTCGCAAATATATGACGGAGTTAGAATCCGGATTGGAGAAAAAATTCATGGACATTTTACAGCGTAATTTACATGCATTAATGCCCCCACAGACTCCATCGTTAGCCCAACATCAAACACCGTTGACTCAGAATATGCGCCAAGAAATTAAAACCATTATGAAAGAAGTTCTCCGGGACAGTCCATTAAAAGCGAATGCGAAATGCCAGTTGGTAAGACGTTTTGTTTTTTTAAATAATAAATTATTTCGTGTTTTTAATGTGTGTTTTTTATATTTTTCAATATAGTTCAATACAAGCGAAGACTTGTTTAAAGTACCAGAAGTACCACATGACACTAAACTTCCACCAAAAACATCTAGCCCTAACACGGAAAATGAAAGAGTATCCTTCACAGAAACATTTTTTGCAGGTGCGACAGTTTCTGATAAAAAGGATTTGAATAAGTCTATAAGACGATCAAGGCGCATTTCTGAACGCTTCGGTATTGTGCATTCCATCATTGATAATGAATCACTGAATTGCGCCGGTCCATCACAAGAAAACATTCACAATATTACAAACAGGCGGCGAAGTTCGCGTCGATCGGTCTTGGAGAGGTATGCCGAACGGCACAAAAATGTCCGACTTGATACATACAACGAAGTGGAGGAAATCCCCGCGGAGCCAATAATAATGACAAAAACTCCAAAGAACAAGAAACCCACTAGGAAAACAAAGGACCCAAACAGCAGTTTAATTTCACAGATTTGCAATAGCTCGTCATCGTCGTCCAATGCCAAATCAAGATTGAGTAAACACAGGAAGGGCGTTTTGGAACTTCTCAATAAAGGTTCATTGAAAGAAATACAAATCTTACCAATGATTGGGCAAAAGAGAGCTTTCCAAATAATAACACAACGGTACGTATGCAGCGATATTAAAAATCTGTGCTGTTTACTTGCCTCCAACGAAATCACAACTGATCACTACCTGTAGAATGATGAGAGCCACAGTTACAATTATAAGTTATCTAATCAACCTCTAAACGATATTCTTTTTCATTTGCACTGCAATACTTGTGGTTTTCTTTTTTCAGTACCGCTTTGACCCTTACTATTAAAAAGTAAATGAATATTTTATCCTCACTTTGAGAAAATATTCTATTGCAATCATAATTGTATGCATATTGTGCTTAATCTGAAATGCGAGTCTTGATCACATCACTTTTTTTGTACCAAACAGATTTGACACTTGGGCATTTGATCTATTTGTTGACAGTATGCCCAAGCTAAATAAATAGAAAATTATCTTTTAATATTCTCATGAATGTTTTACATATATCATTTATATTCATCATTTATTCCCTAAATTTCAGAACACTACATGGCAAATTTAAATCATGGAAGCAAGTTGAAAAACTACCCCTATGGCGAGGGAATGAATGGGAAAAATTTGCAGAGGTAATCTCTTAATAAAACTTTATGAAAAAAACCACATTAAAATTTATCTTTTTAGGCAAATTGTTTGGTGTGATATTGTGAGAGAATTGGAACTGCAATAAATAATTTTATTACATTTAATTTATATTTAATGAATTTACTATTTAGGTGTGATATGTTTAGGTTTACACAGTTTTTAATCAAATAAAATTGAATCAAACGAACAGTGTTTTGTTTATTTTTCTGCTACAACAACAACTCGTATAACAACAACTATTAAATGCTATTTAAAATTTAGAGATGGCCAGTTTACTTTTTGAATGTGGAAATAACTTTATGCCCTAGAATAAATAATAAAATTTCACAGATCAACATATTGATTTTCCTTTTGGGTTATAAAAAAATTTCAAGAAATAGCGCAAACTTATGGCTAACAGTGTAGTTATGTATTCTGTACGAACGATTCAAAACAAACAATTCGTAATTATCTCATTAATTCATATTCATAACATGAGTGGATTTTATGGGTAGTAGCTTATCGATAATAGAGAATACAACGAATATTGGGAACAAAACAAAAAGTAAAAAAACAACAACAACAAATTAACAGAACCGGATTTGTTGTGTGTATAACACTAACACTATGTTCAAAATAAACATACGATCGACCGGCTTTTGGTCTCCTATACAACGATACCGGATGAAATCAAGCCATTTGCATTCAAGTGGATTGCATGTACTGGGTGGCGTGGGGAACGAAGATGTGAACAAACACAATATTGTGGCGGTGTTGGTTAGCTGATAGCCAATACAAGACCTGCCGCCAATTCAATGCTCGCATATTAATTGATCTTCAGCAGAAAATCAAGCTCAGTTCAACATTGACTGTGGCCGGTGAAGTTTATAAACGGCACAACCGATTACGTTAAAGAAGTTTATTAAACGGAACTACACTTGGAGTGCAATAAATACATAACACACGGGTTTTTATTATTATTAAACAAAGTCACCATGCCCATGCAACCCATTAAATTCTATTACGATGTTCTCAACCAATCTAGTCGTGCTTTATATATATTATTGGAAGCTTCAAAAATTCCCTTCGAACCAGTGCCGATTTCGCTTTTAAAAGGTATGTACATATCTACGCAAATATTTGTATATATATATATGAGAATATATAGAAGAAAGTGACTTCATCAGTCTAACATTCATTACGAACAAGAATTTTCTAAATAACAATGCATTATTTTTTTTTTAATTTTAAATATCTAACTATATGCATTTCCATGCAATTTTTGAATAGGCAGAGATATATTCAAATGATTCAGTTTTTCAATAGTTACTTTTTGTAGATATATACATAATTTATGAAACGAATGAGGACGATTTAAATATGCTGTATTTTAGTACAAAATATTTCAACATGTCCTCATAATTGTTTGCACAGTTGAAATTTTTGTTTTATATAAAAAACAATGGAAATCGCGATGCGTATTCGTTTTTCTTAGCAAAGCTAAAGAATTGAAATTGTTTAATTTTTTCAATTTCCTTTATGCATAAGTGAAATAAATAAATAAAATAAGGTTAAGCGTGGAGGTAAAAATGTACTTTTAATAAAATCTTTTTGTGGGACAAAATTATATTTCCGCCTTGGTTTTTATTCTATACAATCTTTATTTCATATCATATATTGAAATCATTTCGTTTACGATTTAAATACTATTTAGGCAAAATATAAAATATTGTGATTGTATTTACTTGCCACTAAGTTGCAAGTTAATACATAAAAATTCAAAATGTATCCATGGCTATAGTGAATACTGGCATATAACGAAGTTTGTTCTTTTTATAAGATACAAGTGGAAATTCTCATACAAAATAAACTCTCTATAACGAGTTGTTTATTTTCTAATAATTCGCAGGTCACCGACAAAGAATTTTAGAAACAAATAGGCATATTGAAAGCAAGGTATTTCTATTTTTGTGGTAAATATAAATCTTCTAATAATTTTTTACTTAAATTTAATAGGTAGGCAATGTTAATTTGTTAAAAATAATATATACTTAAGTCTATTTTATTTGCAATGGAAACTTTTTGCACAATGGTGTTAATTTGTGTGTGATATTTTTAGACACGCGTACTTTCAGCTTTAGCAAACAAATCTATTGTTGACTTAATGCAAATCACAATAAGCTAAGTGAAATAATTAATTCTTATTTATGCAGAAAACATTTTAAATTTATTTGTACTGTGTCTTTAACAAAAAAAGAAAAAAATTTCTTTGTTTAAAATGCTTATCTAAAATATTACAAATATATTTATTTATTTTCTAATGGTATAATAGCATTAAGATTTCAACAGCGTTATTATCGGTTAATAAATTGATACAAGCTATTGAATTGACTGATAATAACATTCGAAAATTTGTGACTTGGCCTCACATATTCAAATGCAATTTGTCCCATGTCTCCGTTCTGTTTGTTGCATCAGGTACGAACGATCGTTTTGTTTACACTTTATTGCTCAAACTTGTTTTGTTTTATAGCATATATTATTTTATCTTTCTTGTTTATGATTATTTTATTCCTATTTATATCGTGCTCATAATATTTCGAAACTCATCACACACCCCTCTGAATTTTGCGTAGGCAACAACAACTGAAAGTAAAACATGTTAATCGATGCCTGTTTACATTTGGAAACCGGCTTGTCTTCATTAAATTCCACAACAAAAACAAGGCAAAAATGCATGCATACAGTTTTAGGTAACCAACATGGACCTCATATTTGAACACTTGGAGTATTAGATATGGGTTCATATTCTGCCAATCAACCTGTTTATCCAAAATAATATTAGAAACTACGATGAACATGTACCAAATGCAACACATTCTGCAGTGGCATTGTTCAATTTCCAACTTTTGATCATGTAAATTCCTAATTGATGGTTTATATATCAACCTAATGCACAAACATACAAATCCGATTCCAAAGTTCAAAAAATGTATATATTCCACTACAAACACAAAAAACAAATACATTTATATGAATATACTTATCTTACGATGGCAGTCAACCGATTCATAATTTTCAAATACTTTGGTCTGGAAATTCGCTTTTATTAACAAAATGTAAATATTGGCACCTGTTGTAATACTCGTATGTTCACCTTCAAAACGTACAATGACATTAATGTTTAAAAGCAAAAAAAGTTCTTTGAACTTGCATAAAGACATAAATGTGGCCTAATAGAAACTTTGATTTCGCCAACAATTGTATTTTTAAAATTTTACCAAAATAACAAAAACATTTAAAAATTTTTTACTGGATGCTTACTTTATACAGTATTTTTGGAAACAATAGTTAATAGATTGATAAAAGTTACACTAAAAAGAATAATAAGCCTGCGTACTCTATATTTAGCACAGAATGTTACTAAATTGTGCTACTGACAATTTAGAAATCTTACTTGAAATATGTACTCACTAAAGTTTTCGTTGGTTTGCTCCCGTACTCAAAAAGTGGTAAAAATTTTTAAATTTATAAAGGGACAATTTAAAGCAGTTTCGATTGATAGAAGTTTCTTGTATGATCTAGAACATAAGTAAATACAATGGAAAAGATCGCGAATTTCCATTGAACATAAATTTTTTTTACAAAATGTAGTCTGTTTACTTTTTGTATTTTCTTTGTTTGTTTACTGGAAATGTACGCGGACAATCTAATATGAGGAATTATTTTCAATCGAACAAATAAAAGGCTGTATTTAAATTGCCAAAAATATACGTCGATAATCGTCACTAGACTTCAAATGTGTAAACCAATCGTAAAGTAACAGTGTCACACTCATTTAATATGGCAATTTCGTTTCGATTATACAAGTTCCATTATATACAGAACCATCATGTAGAGGTAGTTGTATTTGTTCCAGTATATTATACATTTTTTACCCAAGTGACAATTTCCACGTCTAAGAAGAGCATTTATTGTAAACATGGAATCATGGAGATTCCGTCGATATTTATATTGAAATACGCAAATGGGTTTTCAAATTATATACACTGCGACACTGTTCAAAGTTCCATAACAATGATTTCAGTGTCAAAGTCACATTTATATATGTATTATTACTTTAAATGTATGTGTGATTTTATTTTCATTTATATAGATTAGAAATTTGTGTCAACAATTCGACCAAAGTCTTTTTGGTACAATACGATTTTTGTAAACGATTAAGAATAAATATAAACAAAGAAATCATCAATTAGTATTTGTCCTTATCAAATACAGTCGAGTCTGCATAATTGGAATAGATATTGAACACATTTCAATTGTGAATTATATGCCATGTTGTTCCCTTATTAATTCAAATTTGTTTTAATTATATATGAAAAAACAATGCTTGGATTAAATCGTAATCATTTAATCGTCGTTTCGGTTTTACGTAAATCGTCATTTCTTTTAAATATGTATATACAAAACAAATGACAACTAAATTTAAATTTAAAAAACCTTCGGTTTAAATGCGTTCTTATACCAATCGAAACCCTTTTCCATGTACTCATTTATAAACATAAGTATTAATATTTACCAAATATATATACTATCATAACGATCCTATAAGCATGCATATAATAGCATGCTTATACCAAAAAACGTTTTATCCACTCTTCTTTTGTTTTGTTATTTGGTTCTAAGAGGGATGACTCTACTTGTACGTTCCTTAAAAAATATTAAGATGGGATTCCTTAATTATTTTCATTAAATATTTAAATATTAAATATTTTCTATAACTCAATAATTTTTATCGTCTGATTCAAAGATTCTACTAGAATACTTCTGATTTTGTGTAGTGAAATGTATACCTACATATGTACATATATACACGTGCACTTTTAAACTAATTGTGTACATTCATACTTAATTACAGTCATGAAAATTTGGTAATTATTTTTCATTTGAAAAAGATTTGGCAAAACATACTTTAGATAGTGCGGGTATTCTTTTGTCCGATTTTCTAACGATAGAAGTAAGTGATTATTAATCACATCGATTTGACGCAAATACCCCCAAAACTTGTTGACTAGCATTTATTTAATTTTCAATAGATAATGTTTTAAAAACAGTGATTCATGATCTAATTAAAAAGGCAAATTGAATCAAGAAATAAGTAACATGTTGCTGTCCGATAAATAAATCAGATATATTGACAAAAAAAAAATTGAAGAAGTGTCACGCAGAAATTGTGATGAATCTTTCTTTCTTAATTAACTTCAACAGAATAATAGCGGATCCATCAAATTTATTTCACATCACATTATGTTCATATTCATAATTTTATTTATGTACACTCATGTATGTGTGATAGTAAACTCAATATTTAAAATTATGTAATGTAATTCAGATTTTGACAATCTTTTTATATAAATTTCAATAAACAAGAATGGCTGATATTACTAAGTAGTGAATAAACTAAAAAGTTTCCATCGAATGACCATTTTTCTTACCCATCACGCCACAGTAGCGAGGCTTTGATATCAACAATTTAAATTGAGTTGATAAGAATGCTTCTAAACGGCTTGATAAATGAATGAAAGAAATCTTTTTAATAATATTGATTTTATGAATTTATACCCTACACCATCAGGTGAGGAGGGTAGGTGCCAACGGTTTGTTTAAAAAATGGCGCACTTAGACTATATCTTTTATCGTAATAATATCGATATAATTATTAAATCAAGCTGAAATACATGAATTTACCATTATTTTTTTATTTATTATGTATAATAATGTAATTAAAGACAACATAAGACCAATCATGAATAGTAGAAAATTAGTAGATTCTTGGAGTACGGGAACCGGCCAATTTATTGAAACTTTTTCACAAAATATAAAAGCTGTGTCTGTATACTCGATATTTTGTAATAATAGTTATCAACAATTGTTTACTTTTACTTTTTTATTTTTCTCAGTGTTAATGCAAAAGGGAATAAAATGGCTTACTCTCTGAAATAGAACTTACTGTAAATGAACAACCGTAATTTATTTTATTATTCATTTGTATTTGGTATCCTGTGTTTTATGATGGAAAATAATAATTTAATAATAATTAATAATATTTACAGCCTGTTTTTGTAAAATTCCAAACGAACGAATTCGAGTGACTTACGACCAAACTCCTTGGTTTTGAAAATTATGTCATTTATTTTTGTTTTGAATCAGAAAACCTTTATAAACATAAATTAAGGTTTGGTCGTAAGTCACTCGAATTCATTCGTTTGGAATTTTACAAAAACAGGCTGTTAATTTAATTTCCAAATTTCTCTGATAGTATAAAAAACAAAAAGGAAAGCAACGGTGGAAAACTAAGCCAAAAGCTAATTGCGTCAAGTATATTTGAAACATATAAATTAGTTTACTCCCACAACAATACAGTTTCTATCATATATCATATACATAATTGCCGGTATATAATTCAGTTTTTATTTTATTTTGTAGGTGAACACCTCACTGGCGAATACAGAGATAAAGTTACTCGTTTCAAGAGACTCCCAGCAATTAATGACCATGGATTTCAATTGTCTGAAAGTGTAGCCATATTCCGTCATTTGGTCAGGGAAAAAATTGTTCCCGAACATTGGTATCCACGCAAAAATTTGGGTCGCAGCCGAATTGATGAATATTTAGAATGGCGTCAACGTAACATGGGCGTAGCTAGTACAGATTATTTTCAACAAAAATGGCTTGTCCCATATTTGCAGAAAACCCGACCCAACGATAGTTTGGTAAGTAACGAAAAAACAAACACAATGGTCACAGCAAATATAGACAGACAGTTTATTTCATTAACGCATGCAAATTAAATAACGGAAGCATCTTGACAATGACATCGTTTTCAATGTTCTTCAAACTTTTTTTCCAAACTTATCAATAAATTTGATTTTTTTCGTTTTGTTTTGGTTCATCTTTTGTTGACGTTGGTGTTTTAGGTGAATGGAGCTGCTAAACAACTCGATCGCAATCTAAACGATTTCGAAAATCTCTTTCTGAATTCGAACAAGTTCATAATTGGAGATAATATTTCATATGCTGACCTGTTAGCAATATGTGAAGTTGACCAACCAAGTAAGTTAAATTTTAGAAACAAAACATGGTACAATAAAAAGTTAGCGTAAAGCAATCATATGATTTCCCTTAGAGTGGCAACATAATGTAATATTGATATGTTGTGTGTGCATTGTTTTGAAAAAAAATACCCAAAACACATTTAAAATATATTAAAAATAAGTCACTTGTTACACAAGTCAACATATCAATTTTGACGGAGTGCGGAGTACCCATTTTTTTTAATTGTATAACATTTTTATTGTACCATGAGTACCAATATAGGTTCAACACTGAGATAATTTTTTATATGCAATTAAAAATTGGCACAATTTACTTCGACTCGACGTAATGTTTGTTCCCAATGTCAATGTCAATAATAATAATATTAAAATTATACTTCATCTGTAATTGAATATTATTAAACATAGTAAATAGTAATTCATAGTAAATCTTGCAATTTTATGAAAAATTATTTGAATTTGTATTATTTTATCAAAAAAATCGTATAATTTTATTCAATCATTTTGCAAATACTATAATTTTATTTTATTACTTTTTTCTAGAATACATTGGTTATAATCCCTTTATTAAACGAAACAAGCTCTCAAAATGGTACGATGCAGTTCGCGAGGAATTGGGGCCATATTACAAAGATATTTCTGCCGAATTTGAAAACAAATTGCGAATCGCTGAGAAAGGCCATAAAGAAGCCATATCAATGAAACAATAATTATTACATAAAATGCATGATCCTCTATGTATTTTGTTGTATTATTTCCATTCATATGGAATATTTGTTATTTAGCATATAAGTTTATATTATAACCGTGCTTTAGTTGCGGAATTAGATATTAATGTTATAGTTGCTAAGAAAACGATTCACACAAATCAAATGTTCATATTAATGTATATACATGTAAATACATAAAATAATAATTACAAAAATGTTAATAAAAAGCAAATATAGTATTTAAAGAATATTAGAGCATTAAAGGTATTAAAAATAATATTTTAACTAATACTCTCAAAATATGATATATGAAGAACGTTTTTAGAATGTCAGATCTCAAGTATTTCACAATGTTATTTAAACTGAATGGAATATGAAATTTTTTTTAACGAATACATGGCATAATTATGGAAGGTATTCTAATTTGAGAAATTGATATTGAATTGAAGAGGAAAGGAAATTGCTATGTGTTTTATCATGGTCCAATTAACGTATAGCTGCTGGCAATTTTATATTGTGTATAATTTTGGAATGTAAATGAGAAACCGCCATATGAAATGACTTACTAAAAGAGAACGTAGAGAACGAGCTTATTGATGTATGTAAAACAGGTCACTAGCTCCCATGTTTGCCCAGCAGTAATAGAGTTGTAGTAAATTTTCATACGTACTTTAAATTGTGTGGATTTACAAAATCTTGAAATAAATGAAGGATAGGGGGTAAGTGCACCAATAGTCGGCACTTTAAGGATTTTCTCATTTTAGTCTCGGGGTCAAACATGTTTTTTGATTTAATTTGAATCTACACTAATTCAAGAATGTCCCTACAAAATTTCAAGTGAAAATCTCAAAAACTCTTGAAGATATAGCCGATTTATTATGTCAGCATCAAGTGACGGCTAAAGGGCTTCTCAAACTTTAAACGCGTTTTTCTCTTTTGCGAATGGCGGGCACGATAACTCAAAAACTAATGACCCAATCGATTCCAAATTTTTACACGTTTCTCTGTGAGTGTATAGCTATTGTATGAACTAGGATAAAGCCAATCGGTGAAGATCTTCCTTATTTTTTAACTTGGTTTTTGGTCAAAAATCGGCGAATATTTTTTCAAAGGTCCGCCATTTTGTTAATTTTAGAGCGAAGTCAATAATCCTAGTTCATACGAGAGCCAGACATGTACTCTTTCTAACACCGTTGGAATTTTCGGATTCCGATGTTCCAGTGAGAAGTTACCATGCCCGCCATCAAAAATAAGGACTTTTCTTTAATCACAAAAAAACAACAACAAGACAACAACAAAAATTTTCTGTAAATTATTTTTCTTCCTTTTTAAATCTTCAAATATACAAAGCTTAACAAGCATTGGTATTCATTTACCAGCCCATTTAAAATCTTAAAAATAAAAAAATTGAGAATGGATGATTAAATTGATAATTAGGTAAAATAGTGCCTTTGTGCCAATAGTCGGCATGTCGTATTTTAGTTAAACAAAAATTATTTAGTAGTGTTGGCGGTTTATTTGGGACACCATTTGTATTTTGTTTTTGCAAAATAGTCAGGCTGAATCCCAGTTTGTTGTTTTTATAAAAAACAACTATTTATTAGTGGGGAATGTATGGCATTGTTTGCCGAGGGGTAAGTTGTAAACTGTTTGGTTTATTGCTGTCGTTGTGTGCATTTGTCGCGATGTGTCAACACACAACAGTGGGAAAGGTGTGGTATTGTTTGTAAATGCCTTGTTAACCTCGAAGTGAGGCTCTAGCGAAATTCTCATGCAATTAATGTCATTGGGCAGCTAAGTACTTCGCTTTGTTACAAGAGACATTTGGGCATGAAAGGTTTTTTGTATAGAAGCAATGGCTTTTGGGGAGAATATCCCAACAAAAAACTAAGGGAACTGATGAGGATCAGTGGCGTGATCCGAAACTATAGTCTTCCCTGCCTTACCCCTCGGCAAACAATGCCATACATTCCCCACTAATAAATAGTTGTTTTTTACAAAAACAACAAACTGGGATTCAGCCTGACTATTTTGCAAAAACAAAAATTATTTATTTGACTAATTTTCTGCTATTTTCATTACTAAATTATTATTATCGGACGTTTCCATTAGTGTTGTATTGAACAAGTTTTTAAAATATTTTTATTTATTAACAATTATAAAACATGGTGCCGACTTCGGGAACCAATTTTTATCCAATTCTCGGCATGGCAAAATAAGGCATTTCTGAGGTTAACAGAATTTAAGAATTTTTAAAACCATGTCTTCCATTATGTAAAACCTCTCAAAACTGACTTTTTTTATAAATGAATCAAAATTGGAAAAAATGTAAGTGCAGAAAATGCGTTTTAAGTTTTCAATTTACACAGACATTACATAGAGCAGAGGAAATTCTATAGTGTCTCAATCAGACTGTGTGTAAGAGATATTCACATTTTTTTTTAAACAACATGAAGTCTATTATGTCGAACAATCGTCCATCATTAGCTCGAAAATAATATTTTTGAGTTATGCCTGTCTTGCAGCAAATGAGCGATATGTTTGTAACAGGCAAAAGGCATCCAGATAGACCCATGGTTCCTTTTGAGAATATGAATAAAATCACTTTCTGAGTCGATTTATGGAATATAATACGTTTTGGATGAAATTTGGTACAACATACTTATTTGGCCCAAGGACGAACCCTATTGAAATTGGGAATAATCGGTTCATGTTTAAATTTAGCTCCCATATATATTTTCGTCCGATTTAATGCAAATGGTGCACCATATATAACAACAACCTATATATATAACAACAGAATCCCGTGGTAAGTACAGTTAAATAGTGTAAGAAAATATGTAACGCGTGCGTGACAAAATTAACATATGTTTCTATACAGACTCTAATATGAGAATTTTTTTTGATAATGCTGTTATGTGAGGATCTTGAGATGGCAAACTCAAATAAAACAAAGTAAAAATTGTTTTCTCCAAAAAATTAAATGACAATATAATCCTGAATAACCCCCTATAGCTGTAAAAAAATCCGCAATTTTATCTCCAGCCAATTCGCAGAAATTTCATATCGAAACTGATATCCAATTTTTAAAGGGAAAATTTTGTAGCGCGTGCGTACACTAAATTTTGCTTAACATCTCCGAAATTTACAAACATATACATAGCAGGTATTGTAAAAGGCGTAAAACTATTTAAAAAAATTGAAAAAGAAATTTCGGAAACAATTTTTTCTTAACTAAACAAACGATATTTCGCACGCTGTAACATTGCGTGATATGGAATTCGTGATATATCTTTCGATTTACACGAAATTTGGTATATCGCACGGAATTGAGTCCAGAATGATGTGCGTTAAGTTTTATGAAAATCGGTTCAGATTTAGATATATCTCTCATATATATTTTCGTCCGATTTCATGTAAATTGTGCACTAAAGACCCAAAGTTTGTCCGATTGGCACAAAATTTTGTACAAAATAGGGGAGACTGGGGCACCTTCGGCAATCGCGTATTCGATATGAAGCTCTCTCCGTACATCACTAGTTTCGATACATAGGTATCGAATATCGAAATAAATAACTGACCCAGAGTTTTAAATTTCTAGCTAATAAGCTTATTTAGATACATAGGTTTTTGTATTTTTATAGATGTTTCTGTAATATTTCAATTCCATTTCGTAAGTATTTCGTGTATAAAACTTTATAAATTTTTAAGACAATAATATTAAAAAGTGATTAACTACGATGTGTATTATTATAGAAATATTCAAAAATATAATGTTTTTACAAAACTGATCGAAAAAAATGAAAAAAACTATAAAAAATACATTCGGGGTACATTCGGCATTTTAAAGCGGGGCACATTCGGCCATATACAGATTGTTTTTGAGTTTTTGAGTTTGTCTTTAAATCTAATCATTTAATATGGTTCGAAATTGCATATATAAGATCAAACGTGCTTATATTGACGAAAATGCGATAGAAAATCCCTATTTCTGATGATGTGTGCGACCTTGAGATGTAAACGTCCGCCGCTAGAAAATAAAGCCATATAATTCAAGCATTGTGTGGCATATTAAAACCAAATAGAGCCTTTAGAGGATCAGAATTTCAACCAGACTGATAGCGTTGACAATTACCCGGCTATGACTATGGTGCCGAATGTGCCCCATCAAATGCCGAAGCTACCCCGGGTTGGGGCACATTCGTCGAATTTGACTTTTTTTACAAAACTGTAAAATTTTTCAACTAATACTATTTTTTTATATCTTTTTGGTACTATTTTTTATAATTAAGTGTCAGAGGACAATAATCATCCATAAAGTTGTTATATATGTTGAATAAGTATATATATATATATATATATACATAAATATAAAAAAAAGTAGAATTAAAAAATCAAATATGACTTAGTTCACGTAGTCATGTAGTTGAAAAAATTGACTATTAAATTCTTAAGGTTCGAGACCCTACTTTTCAAATTACCACTGAGCATTTATATAACCGAAACCAAGAATTGGATCGATGCTGAACATGTTTTTCGAGCGTTTTTAAAGTCCCCTAAGAACTAACTTTTGTGAGAATAAAAATGTCAAATAACTATGTAAATGATACAATTGTAGACCAATACATTTTGGAACAGATCCTGCATACCAATTTAACTGTTTTTTATTTCATTGCAGATGTGATATCTATCTTCTGTTTTTTTTTTTTGAACTATAGCATATAATATACTAATTATTTTAGATTCAATTAAATGCCTCAAATCATTCTTCACTCTGATGTTTTTTCCCCGCGGTACACTAAATACACTAAAACGATACCGCATTGCTCACTGATTTTTAACTATTATATACAATTTATTTCCACATTTTTCTATATGAAATTGAAAACTAAACTAAATTGTATTTGACATATAAGCTGCGTCCGATTAATCGATATTTGGTAACAATTGTTACCAAAAGTTACTGGATGTTGTCTGTTTACTTAAAAGTCCAGTAAAAG